ACTGAAAGTGAAAGTAGTCAAACTGAGTTTTTAATAAACCAAAATACAGTTTTAATTTAGTAAAGTTCATTTTCAAACCGATGCATTCAATTTGAAATTGTGCACATTCAGATTCAATCTGAACAGTTCAAATCCAGTTCCTGCTGGAACAAGATAACCCACCTGCTCTGATCACCTCAACCTAAACAAGGTCACATGCTGAGTCTGCAATAATCCACATAAGCTTTGTGATATCTTAATCTCGTTCTGTGGGGATTAGTTGTGCAGACTCTGACCGTCTGCTCAGATTATCAACTGATCTCATTCATCAAACTAATAAAAACGTTTGTTTAAATAATGAATATATTTAGATTTAAACATCAGGTGTTTGGCAGCAGACAAAGGTCTAAAACCTGCAGGAAACTGGTCTGGCAGAAGCTTTCTTCAGATTAAATCAGATTTGATCAGAACCGTGAGTCCAGCTGCAGCGGCGCCGACCTGAGGACGGGTCCAAACTGCTGGTTCCTGTAGTTTCTCACAACATGAGTGATCAAACTGAGGAGTGGGATGAACACTGAAACATGAGCAGTGTGTGTGCGTGAGGACGAGACAAGAAGCAAACTGAAAGAATAAAGTAATGTATGGTTTGATTGACAGGTCGTTTGGATTAGAGCACACACAAACTCTGATCACCATAAAGAAACACAAGTGGGGCTGGCTCTGCGTCTCCTTTCCCTCCACTGTCGCCTGTTTTTCAGGCTGAGCCCCCCGAGGACCGCCTGAACGGAGCTCACCAGAGAGACGTCGGTCAGCAGCGTGTTCAGACTCTCCGGAGGATCRTCCTCGGTGCTCTCTGCCACGCTGTCGTTCTGAGACACAGAAAAATAAAGAGATTAGTTGGGATTAAAAGAATGAAGAGATTTTCAGCAGAGACACGTGTGGAAATCACAAACTTTAACTCAGTAACGTTAAAAACAAATCAGCTTTGGCAGCCATCATGCAGACCTGAAGAACTGCTGCCCTACAGATCTGCTGACCTTTTAGCTGCTGCTCTGCTGATTTAAGCTTTCAGCTACTTGCTGATCTTTTAGCTGCTGCTCCTCTGATTTTAGCTTTCAGCTACCTGTTGATCTTTTAGCTGCTGCTCCTCTGATTTTAGCTTTCAGCTACCTGCTGATCTTTTAGCTGCTGCTCCTCTGATTTTAGCTTTCAGCTACCTGCTGATCTTTTAGCTGCTGCTCCTCTGATTTTAGCTTTCAACTACCTGCTGATCTTTTAGCTGCTGCGCCACTAA